TTGATTATTTTCACGATTCCTTGAAGAATAGCCAAGCATTGTTAATTTTATTCCCTCTAAAAAATTTATGGCCTTAATATAAACCATGGGAAGACTAATGAAGACAGACAGCTTGGCTTTAGGAGTACAACAAAACTGTGCTTATAGCGTAGGGCTGTAAGTATTCATATGAGGGCTTGGATTCCCATGCTATCTCCTCCCTTTATTCTCTGTTATCTCCCCCGAATGTCACTAGAATCATGGAATCATAGAATTAACTGGGTTCGAAGAGACCTTTGAAATCATCAAGTCCAACCCTTGATCCAACCCCACTGTGATTACTAGATCATGGCACTCAGTGCCACATCCAACCTCATCTTAAAAACCTCCAAGGATGATGAATCCACCACCATTCTGGGCAGCCCATGCCAATGCCTGATCACTCTCTCTGTAAAGAACTTCTTTCTAATATCCAACCTAAACCTCCCCTGACAGAGCTTAAGCCCGTGCCCTCTTGTCCTATTGCTGATTGCCTGGGAGAAGAGACCGACCCCCACCTGGCTACAACCTCTTCTCAGGTAGGTGTAGAGAGTGATGAGGTCAGACTAAACAACCCCAGCTCCCTCAGCCTCTCCTCATAGGACTTGTGCTCGTCCCTTCACCAGCCTCGTTGCTCTTCTCTGGACCTGCTCCAGCACCTCAATGTCTTTCCTGAGCTGAGGGGCCCCAAACTGAACACAATACTCAAGGTGTGGCCTCACCAGCACTGAGTACAGGGGAAGGATCACTTCCCAGCTCCTGCTGGCCACACTGTTCTTGATGCAGGCCAGGATGCCATTGGCCTTCTTGGAACTAGGTTCTCAGCTTGCCCTTGACTGCAAGTTTGGAAGACTGCATAATGAAAGGTGGGAAGGATGGCCCTGAGGGCAGCTTTAGAGCTTCTTTAGACACCATAGGCACAACCACTGAGGCAGTATACTGGTCAGCAAGGTAGGAATGAGTTCCACAATCAGCTAGTGAGCTGATTTTTTTTCCCCTGGATACCACAAATTTATAATTGAATAGCATTTTAATAATATATTAATTATTTCATGGCTATGCACAGTGAAATGACTAAAGCTGGAAGTTTTATGGATGATTCTGACCAGTAAAGGTGAGACTAATAAAACCTTCACCTTCCAACTTGCAGCCAGATGTTTCAACCTTTAAATATCTTTAATCAAAATACCTTGTGTTTTATCAAGTACACAAAGCCAGGATTGTTCTTCTCCAGCTAGCATCAGTCATGCCAAAAGGGATTTTATACAAGGCAGGTTTGAAAAAAGGCAGTGAGATAAAAATGCTGATTAGAAATGTGTCTTAAGATATGAAAAGAAACATTTCTATTGATGTCAGGAACTCAGGCAACTAAGCCAACTTTTCATACCTGGCCACCTAAAACATGCGATATGTTCTCATCTATTTCAGTGTGTTTTTCTCAACTTCATTGTATCATTCCTTAAATCCTAATGGGATATATTATCCTGGCTGCAGTAAGGCAGGAAATGTCTTACACACTTGGATGATGTGACTTGTGCTCTAAGGAAGATATAGTGAGAAGTAATAGAAATCGAGTGTACAGGGTAGGAAATAGAAACAGAGATGACCAAAATGATGATGGACAGATGTGTTATTATTGAGGCATTTCCTTGTTAATTTCTTTAATTTTAAGTTAATCGTGACAACTTTCCTTCTTCTCCTCCTAGATTGGTTTATAGAACCTTCTGGCTTCACAATAAGCAAAGTTACTGCCATCTATTGTTCGGGTCAACTCCCAAGATTTACAATCACAATAAGTAAGGAATGCCTGTAATTCCTTCACTTCCAAAATTCTGCTTCTGCAGATGATCAGTAAATTTGCAGAGACTTAGTTCAGTACTTGCAATCGTATTGAAAACAGAGAGCTTGCTTTAGGGAGCCAGAATGCCAGGGATGGGGGAAGCTCAATGACTCTACCTGCTTTCAGTTTTGTCAGTTTGCTAAAAACAAACTGTTTAAGTTTTTCCAGCCTTCTAGAATTTGCAGACAATGTTTTTCCTTCACAGATTTTCTTTTTCTTTTTTCTTTTTTTTTTTTTTTTTAATCAAGCAGGCTGTTCAGTTCTTCAATCTTGTTAATATCTTTGGGGTAGAAATTTCTAACACACAGAATTGACTTTTGCGATAGGGTTCCTGAGATTTGCTTAAATGCTGTAGCTATGATCCCTATTATAAGTTACTATTAAACAGTTATAAAAGACTACTGAGGTAAAATTTTTCCCCCCAGAGAATATTTAAGTACATCAATTGTATCCTTGCTTCCTCACTCCTTCCCTCTCTCACATCACACTCAACTCTGAAGTCATAAATATCTTGTTAGATGTGTCCTTGTGCTCTTGCTTAGTATAATTGAGAACAGTTCCAATGCTTATTATTCTAACTGATTTTTATTGTATTGGTTTATTATAGACTGATATCTAGAGATTAGGATACTAGCATTAATAAAAGGACTCCCTTTCTCATCATCACAAGGGAGAAAACATTAGGAAATCTGTTTTAACTGATTTCTAAGGGTAAAACCCATGTAACAATAAGGAGATCAACTTCAGAGTCTGTTTAAGCAACTGACCAGTCAAAGCTCTTTTATTTGTACTGTCTAATGAGAAGTGCTGTATGTTTACCCCAATTTGCTCGAATCATTACTGCAATCTTTTATTCAGGTTCCATGTTTACTTAGGTAAGAGGTACACTGGGCAGAGTCCTAGAATAAGGTGAATGCATAAATCAGTTTTAATATGACAGTCGCTTCTTAGGATGTTCCCAGCAAACCAGGAACTGCAGCTGCCTGTGGCTGCATGTCCTCAGCTGGGCTTTCTATTATACCCAGGAGTCAAATGAAACCTAATCAGCAATCAGACTTACAATCAGAAGCGAGCTTAGTGCAGGGCATTGGCTCTGTTAGAAGGTACAGGCTGTCTCTCTCCAATGATGGAAAAGGAACGAGAGAACCACTATTAGTACCCTGTGTGGGCCCAAGCATCTCAGAGGAGGCTCTGCATGTTCATTCTTTTTTTAAAAAGAGAGTGTCATGCCAGATCAGAGTGCTATGATCTAGATGGGAGCCAGGCCATATTAAAGGCGGATAAACTGTCACACTTAGGCTTGTTAGAATGTAATCCTGTTAAGAGTTTCTCCACAGTATCACGTCATCTGACATAATTGAAAAGAAATCACTTTTGATTGAAATACACCTGCAAGAGAGAAAACCGTGAAGGGTGGGAGAGTGAATATTACTGTTTCTATAAAATGACAATACACAATATAAGCAACACTACAGTATAATTTGCACTGCCTTTATAATTTGAATTTGTAATGATAAGCTACAGGATTTTTCACTTTTTTATTTCCAACTTTTTGAACCTTGAGGCTGATACCTCTAATGCTCTAAATAAATACAGTAATCTGCAAGTGCAAGGTTGCAGGGTTATAACAGTTTGACTTCCAAAGAGACTTTCTACACTGTCAGTTTATAGGATTCCTAAAAGTAGCATTTGGGGCATATTACAAACTGCACAGCTGTATCAGAAGAACAAGTTTCATGCACTCCTGAATTAAGTGTCTTCCCGAATTACCTGGATGTTGCTTAAACTGTTTAAATAACTGGAAAGAAAACAAAACAAAACAAATCAAAACCCAACCAACCAAACAAAAGCAAAAGAAATCCACCATTTTTAAGCAGGATTTCTGTTCACTGAAATTCTATTTCTTTGAAATCCTAGCGAATGAATTTTGGTCTGGGTAAACAAAACCTGGGAAACTACTGTGCTCATGTCACTGCAGTTCCAGAGTCTGATATCTACAGATACTTGGTATTTACCAAGGTTTGTATCCTTCCTTTGGTTCAAGTATGTAAAATGCAGTATTTTTTACTTTTTTTTTTTTTCCCCCAGTAATTGGAAACAACATATAATAAAACAATATAACATCAAACAACATATACTTACATTGCACACTTTAGAGAATGAGTATGTTTGGTTATAAATCTGAATAATAAATAGTAGCTGGGAACATAAAACGTGTGCTTACAAGCTGAAAATATACATTAAGGAACTCATCCATACTAAAGCTAATGAACTTGTTTATGTAGCCATGCACTGACAACTGTATAGCAGAATTAAAAGAAGTATCTAACCTTTATGGTTTCAAGGTGTTCTACAAAACTGCTGTAGTTTGAGCTGATCTCCTAAAACAGTAACTTAGCACATGTGATCCTGTTTCATTCAGTGGAAAGCAAGTTCTGAAATCTATTGACAGTACAGTTCAGATCAGAACCAATATGAAGATGATAGTTTTAGCAAATCCATATGTTACAGCAGGGTTTCTTGTGTTTGTGGATTCCCATACTTGTTTAAAAGGCTCTCCTTGTAAGTTTCTAAATCATTCTGTTGAGGTACGGTAATATGGCAGTGTTCATCAAGTTGGAGAACATACATAATGGCATTACAGAAATAGAAGCAGAACATTCCAGAATCTGGTAGGAAATAGAGTGTGATTAAATGATACAGCCCAAAGTCTACTCTGTCAGGCATCAGTGAACAGCATTCACTGAAGTCAGGGGTTCTACCAAAGAAAAAATAATTACCTAAGCAAAAATGTCCACTTAAACTGTTTAGTTTTAGGTTTCTTTTCAGTTTTAGAATTTTAAACAGACTGTGAAAGAACGAACACTGGAGTTACAGTATGCAAACACAAGTGATAGATCCAACCTTCACTGAAGTCAGAGTCCCTCAATCATTCCAATGACTTTGCATCAGATCTATTTCAAGACTATATAACAGTAATATTAAGCTAATGTTTAATATTAATACCTTTTTTTCCTTTTTTTTTCCCTTTTTCCCAGAAATCCATAAAGAGCTCAACTTTAGAATAGTCTTCCAATGGACTTATCTTCCCTATTAAACATTTCATGCTATTCAGCTTTTTCTTTTCTCTTTTGTTTTACAGGACGGCCAGATTTGGCACATAGCTGATATGAGGACTTTTCTGACTTCACAAAGCTGTGTGTGACATCAACAGACTTCGGTGAAAGGAAATATCCCTGAAAGCACAGAGACTTTTGGTATCTAAATTAACAAGTTGTTCATCTGCGAAGGCATGACTAGTGTTTCTTGCAGCACACATGGAAGAAGGCAACAAACTTTGTAACCCTGGATAACAAGACTGTGTTTTTATCAAAAGTAGTCAGTAGACTAATTATAAAAAGATTATTTTATATTTAGCCACCAGGACTTGAACTCTGGCCTGAACACTGGACATTAATAGAAGCCAATTTTAATGACCTGAGATTTTGCTACCTGTGCTTTATTATTGTTATCAGTTCTTAAACACTTTGGTACTTTATTTCTTTAGATTAGAAATGGGTTCGTGGACTAAAATGTGGCCCACAGATTGGACTCTTCTCATGAAATCATGGCTTATCTTTTCCCTGGGGCTCTGCATGCAGATCTCCAAAACTTTGACCTGTCCAAAAGTGTGCCGCTGTGATCGAAACTTTGTCTACTGTAATGAGCGAAGCTTGACCTCAGTGCCTCTTGGGATACCGGAGGGTGTAACGGTCCTCTACCTCCATAATAACCAAATTAATAATGCTGGATTTCCTGCAGAGTTGCACAGTGTCCAGTCTGTGCACACAGTCTACCTGTATGGCAACCAATTGGATGAATTCCCCATGAACCTGCCGAAGAATGTCAGGGTTCTCCACCTGCAGGAAAACAACATCCAGACCATTTCTCGTGCTGCTCTTGCTCAGCTTTTGAAGCTGGAAGAACTGCACCTGGATGACAACTCCATCTCCACTGTTGGCGTTGAGGATGGGGCATTCCAGGAAGCCATCAGCCTCAAGCTTCTGTTCTTGTCCAAGAATCACTTAAGCAGTGTACCAGTAGGCCTTCCGCTGGACTTACAAGAACTTCGAGTAGATGAAAACCGAATTGCTGTAATTTCAGACTTGGCCTTTCAAAATCTTACAAGTCTGGAGCGTCTGATTGTGGATGGCAATCTCCTTACTAATAAAGGCATAGCAGAAGGCACCTTTAGCCACCTCTCCAAGCTCAAGGAATTCTCAATCGTTCGAAATTCACTGACATACCCTCCTCCCGATCTTCCAGGGACACATCTGCTAAGGCTTTACTTGCAGGACAACCAGATAACCCATATACCACTTACAGCCTTTTCAAACCTCCACAAACTGGAACGTCTTGATATTTCCAACAATCAACTTCGGATGTTGACAAAGGGAGTATTTGATAATCTGCACAACCTGAGACAACTCACTGTAAGGAATAATCCCTGGTTATGTGACTGCAGTATTAAGTGGGTCACTGAATGGCTCAAATTTATTCCTTCTTCCATCAATGTACGGGGTTTTATGTGCCAGGGACCAGAGCAGGTCCGAGGTATGGCAGTCAGGGAGCTGAATATGAATATGTTGTCATGCCCCACCACCACCCCTGGTCCGCCACTTATCATCACCCCAGTCCCAGCTACAACCATGCCAACTACATTAGTTCCCACCTCATCGTTTTCCCTCCCAAGTAGCAAATATAATCCTCTCACTCCCATCATAGCCACGCTCCCCACTGTGCCTGAGAGGGAGGACAGAGAAAGGGTGACACCTCCTTTATCCGAAGGGATTCAGCTCTTCATCCATTTTGTGAATGACACTTGCATCCAAGTCAACTGGATGTCACTTTTTACCGTAATGGCATATAAACTCACATGGGTTAAAATGGGCCATAGTCTGGTAGGAGGAATTGTTCATGAACGAATAGTTAGTGGTGAGAAGCAACAATCAAGCTTGGTAAATCTGGAGCCCAAATCCACCTATCGGATTTGTTTGGTTCCATTGGATACTTATAACAGTTACCGAACTGGAGAAGACACTGTCTGTTCAGAAGCCACGACCAAGGCTTCCTTTTTGAGCAATGGCAGCAACATCCCTTCCAGCCACGAGCAGACAACTTCTCAGAACCTAGGCTCCCCATTTCTGCTGGCAGGGTTGATTGGGGGTGCAGTGATATTTGTCCTCGTGGTTCTGCTCAGCATTTTTTGCTGGCATATGCACAAAAAAGGTCGTTACACCTCCCAGAAGTGGAAATATAACCGGGGCCGTCGGAAAGATGACTACTGTGAGGCAGGGACCAAGAAGGACAACTCCATCCTGGAGATGACGGAAACCAGCTTCCAGATTGTCTCCTTAAATAATGATCAGCTCCTTAAAGGAGATTTCAGACTGCAGCCCATTTATACCCCAAATGGGGGCATTAACTATACAGACTGCCACATCCCCAACAACATGCGATACTGCAACAGCAACGTCTCAGACCTGGAGCACTGTCATACGTGATAGGGAAGATGGGGGTGTCTAGGACAAAGAGGAAAAAACTCTAGAAAAAATAAGCCCCCCAGCAATGATGAAAAGAATTACATTTGATAAATGTTACAAAGATGCATTTATGCATTTGAATACTCTGTAATTTATACGTTGTACTATATAATGGGATTTAAAAAAAAGTGCTATCTTTTCTATTTCAAGTTAATTGCAAATGGTTTTGTAACTCTTTGCTTTTTAAATCTTTAAAAAATATTGCTGAGTACTGTACAGGGTTGTACAATAAGAACCCAATGTCATGGCAAAGGAAAGAGTGACTCATTCTTCAAACATTAACCACTTTGCTGTCGAAGCTGTCTGAGGGATGTTAAGTTAAGTGTCCTGAATACAGGAAAATAAGTGTGTATTAAAACAGGGTCACTAGGAACAGACAAAAGCAATTCAGATAAAATGGGTACAACCCTTCTGACTTGAACCCAGCAGTTGCTGTTGAGCTTCAAACAATTGGAAATACATGTGCTGCCCTTTGTCAGTTCTACATTTCCTACCTCCAACTGAAAGCTGGAGTTCTGAGTGCTGCCAAAAAAGCTACTTTCTTGTTTGATTAGTTTTCTCCCAGTATACTTGGAATAGGAAAGGTAGACAGAGCTCAATGTCAAACTCAAAGTGACCTTGATTCCTATCTGCAAAAGCTACTCTGAAAATGTCCCCCAGTACTATGTACTTTTATCATAGAAAATATTTCTACTTTTCATTATGATTAAGAAGCTTTAGGCATTCTCTGACCCTTCTCACTGGGAGGTGAAGGTTATCAGAATGTAACTGAGAGCTGTCATTAATTTGCACGTCTGTTTAAGAGAGCAGCATTTGTTGATGCAGCGTGTTCAGGTAAAACCTGAGTGAGAAAAATTCCAAATGCTCCCAGTTCTGCAGCATTCATTTGCAAGTTGAAATCTAAAGATGTATATTGCTGAAAACATAGTGCAAAATATAATGTCAATGGAAAGGTTGCTATTGATTTTTATGGTTCAAGCTATGTTTGACTTAGGAGTCTGAGTTGCGTTCACTATGAAGAAATAGAAAAAAAAAGAAAGAGAAAACAAATAAGAAATGTATTGTAAAAGTTTATTTAGTACTGGAACTCCAGGCATATTATAAACTGAATTACCCTTCTTTTGTCTTAAGTTTTCCATAATGATCTGGGCTTTACAAGTGCTAGGTGGGCTTAGAATTTGCTTTTTATTCTCTCAAATTCTTTAGCTGCAATACCTTCTAAATCTTTGAGCTTTACATGCACTATGCAAAATGTCATGCTTGTATTAAAACCATGATGCAGCTCTCCAAATTATGCAATGTTCCAGCCACTCTACTGACTCAGTGACTGCCAGGATTTGTTGCCAGCTCAGTGGTGGAATCTAATTCTTTGTTTTTTTCAGTTTGTTTTTTAATGCGGCTCATTTTCTCCTGAGCTTGGGGACAAGCTAAAGTTATATCAAAATGAAAAAAAAAAAAATAGATGGAGACAAAGCTTCCCTGAGGGAGTAGGGAACCAAAGAGAAAACATTTTACAGTGACCAACTAGGAACAAGGAGAAGTTATAGCAAGTGGATTGAAGCAAAGGGTGAAGCACTTTCACTGTGGAATGGTTAGACTTTTCACTTTATGAGGCTCCTTATGTTGGGAGAGAGGGTTTCAATCCTTTCCTTTGCTCATTTCACTCAACCTGTTCTTGAAACTCAGCAGTCCATGAGCATGCAGTTTCTGAAGTTCAAATCACATGATAACACTAATTTTCTGCAATGGCAAAATGAACCCAGTTATGATTGATGGCAAAGTACGATAATTTTATAAGGAATCACATCTTCCCACCAACACCTTTTATAATCAATCACAGTTTGAAATTCCACTCTATATTCTATATATATTTACTATTTTCTCCAGATATAGCAGGTATTTTAGACAACCTCTGTGTCTACTGTAATAGTAAAGTCAGTTAAATTTTGCTGAGTAAAAGGTTGCCATATGATTTCAAATGGTGTAATTCTAGGTAGAAATGTCTATGCAAAGTGGATTTTTTTCTGTGATTTATTTACTGAAGATGATGATGATAAGGTTGATATTTTTGCCTTTTTTTGGTTAATATGTTTTAGATGCCACAACTCAAAAGACAAGCAACAAATAGTTGTGCTGCACACTTCCATTGCATGCTGGAGTTTGCTTGAAATTAAGTACAGCAGAGATCCCATTGGGTGTGGACATAGTATTAATTTCACTCAAATAACTAGTTGTACATTTAGTTTCAAAAGGCCTCCTTTGAAAGTACGTGCTTACTGGTATTTTGTACTTCAATGACTGATGCAGGAGGAATCTTCTGTTCTAGACCTCAGGATATCATAGATTCAAGATAAGCAAGGCACCTTATTTATAATAATTGACTTATTCAGGGAGTTCGGCTGTACTGTGGGTGAATGGTCCACAAGCCCAAACTGATGACAGCAAATGTTACTGACCTAATAAATCAAAAAATCAAAATTATATTAAAGATAGCATAGTTTATGTTTCTTGTCTGTATGAATAATAATATATGTATTGGTATGGGATACTGACAAAAGTTTCTTTTCCATAAATACTTCTGTGAAAAAACTTAGCAAGCCACTTACACAAGAATTTGTGGATAGAGCTGCGAGTATTACCTAAAAAAAAAATCAGATTTGTAGTCAACTGAAAGGTCACATGTTTCATTTGAAGAATGTTTCTCCCAATTCCAATTACTCTTTTGCTGCAAAACATTTAATGTATTTCAACCTACAGTGGAGTTTGTGACTTCTTAAAGTGTCAGTCGCACAAACATCTGAGACTTCATTTCAGGTCACATCTAGATAAGTACATAAGGGGAAAATTTCACAAGGTAAAGTATTTAGAAAAAGTCACAGTTAAAAATGACAATGATATTTTGGCAATGTAAAGTTTAAGATAGTAGCTTTTTCCTTGAGCTTTGTAAAAATGGGGTCATCTTCACTTAGTGCAAATATCTGACCACATATAATAACTAAAGGCTGTAGAGCAGAAGTCCCAAATGTGTGTATATACAACTCATCCAAAATGTTAACTTCAAAGTCCTGATTTGAACAGATTCAATGGACCTGGGGAAAAATTACTTTTTTACAGACAAAATCTCACTCATCTTCCATTGTATACTGCTAGTAGCTGACATAGATGTGCAGAAAGATTGATTAGGGGAATAAAATAAGATTTTAATTGAAATTATGTTAAAGAAGTATCACAACACTGCTGTGCCCAGTTCTTGGGTTCCTTCTTACAAACAGATCCTTATTTTCACAGATTCTGTTGCTGGCAGAAACAAACACCTGATTATTGCATGGACTTTGTGTTAACAAGTTCTGATTGGAAACATTATTAGTGAATTTATTCATAAAAATATTAAGAGATTAAGTTACTTCGGACTGAAAAGACAGCAGTTTTCCCTGTAAGCCAATAAAGTGGCTGTTTTACGTGACAGTGAATGTCGTGTAAAACAGAAAAAATTAAGTAGCACATGCTATTTGCTACTAGAGTAGTTCAACCATGTTTTTCTCTCAATCACTTTCCGTTTTCGTGAGAGAAAATTATTGATTTTAGTTTTGCAAATAAAAGTACCTTATGCATATTGTATTGTTATTATGGTTTTAAGGGTCTACAAAAGGCACTTTATTAATGGCATTGAAATAAAAGTTCAGTCTCAGCTTCTGACAGTAAAGTGGTTAATTCCCATTGAATTCTACATTTATAGTACTTCTTCACCTTAAATTTAACATGGAAATATAAATCTTTTTTTCTTTACAACACAAGGATAATGGTTTTACACATGACTTATCTTTACAGCTCAGTGGAATAACAAAACACAAGTGAGTGCCAAAACCAAAAGTTACTGGCTCTGAGCCTCATCAAATCCTGCCTGATGCTCTCTTCTAAACACAGAGGTAATCCTTAGAAGCTGATCACTCCTTCCCTGAACTCTACTGAACAGGGCACTTTGTATCCCAGATGATACTACAGGCAATATTGAAATATTTGGCGTTAAACTTTTGTACAGCAGAGAATGTTTAGCTCTTTAAAAGGACGCTGGCTAGTAGCCCATATGGAAAACTAGCACAGAAGAGATTTGGCAACCTTTTATTATACTGAGGCTCTGTGGAAATGTGCCTCATGAGAGCTGAGTTCTGATCCTCTCAGAAACAGATAAGCTACTAGACAAATTTTTATCATCAGTTGATCCCAAGTATCTGGAGATGATGTTTCATAAAATTGATTTTATCTGAGACATGCACACTTGATTCTGTTCTGTGTTTGGTATACTTTCTATCTTTAACATGGAAAAATAGATGGTTTGAAGTCTGCATTATCTGTTTTCTGCAATCTGCCATGTTGCACGCATTGTTAACTTCAAAACCTCACTATACACTATATATTATCTTGTTGACATATTCAGTAAAGAGTTATTAAAAAAAATACATCAATCTTGCTGTATTTATATGAGCAAGTTAATTAAAATAAGGATGTGGGTATCTGAAAGGGACAAAAAATATCAATCTTCTGTACTTGCATTCCTGGAAATATTTTCAGATGTTTTTCTGTCTGTTCACCCTCTCTTCAGTTTCTAAAAGACAAATACTATCTTCTGTCTCTCAAAGGGTTAAATAATTTGTTACCTCAATTTCTCAGATTTAGTCTTAATCTTTAAAGGTTATCTTTTTTCTGATACACATATAGGAAAGAACTGTAAAATGAGAACAGACTATATTCCAGTGTTTACAATTATTAGGCACACTGTAGCAGCTACACACCTCTATAACAAATATATATATGTGGAATCTGTGACTCATTATATGCATAGTCATTTGATAAATGCGTTTGACATTCATCCTTGACAATCTTGAACCTGTCTTTTAAGTATTATTATCTATTTAATGTTTCCTTGACATGAAATGTGATTTTTTTTTCCAATTCTCCCTTCAAAATTGCTCTTGAATTTTCAGAATGCACAACATTCAGACATAAGCCTTAATAAATTTTTGTATAAAACAAATTTTAACATATATGTAATATATGCACTATATATATAGATGCTTAGTTACTTAGAAATGAAAATTATGCCTCTTCTACTTACATATATTTTTGCTTTACCAGAAAGTGAGATATTGAATGTTACAAGTTGTGTCACTTCAAAGCTTAGAAATGTAATACTGCTGAGTGTCACAATTCCTCAACAAATTACCTTACTCTCTTCATAACCCTGAATATCATGTAAAACTCCTGAGAGCTGCTGTACAATACATACACATCAAGTCCTGCAGCCTTTCCCTCTTAATAGGTTTCATTGCATTTGATACTTCTACTGAACCCTGGTAACTAAACCTTCTTGCCTTACTACAAGAGGGTGGACAATAGAGGTAATGTAAATGAGAAACACTTGCCATCATTTATGTATTTGACAATAATGGTATAATCATTTTCATAGAAAATGCTGTTTTCTGTAAAAAAAAAGCTGACAAATATCGCCTTCATTAGATAATCCTTTAATATCTCAAATTTTTTTATTGTGGTAGAGATAAAACTTTATATTTCCAATCCCAGTTAGCGGGGGCTGTTCAGACACACATACAAGTGTGGATAAATTTCTGGGCTTTTGTATAGAGGATTCAGCTACAAGGATCTCCCAAAACAAACACATGGAGGAGCATTTTTCTCTATTGTTCAGTCAAAACTTTTCAATATTTCACTTTAAAAAGAGTTCTTCAATCTAAGAGGAGTACCACATTTAGAAACAGCATTCCACCATTTAAGTATGAAACAAACACTTTAATGCTAATTGAAGTGCCACTGTCAGTGAAGGCTGAAACTAAAAATCACTAAAATACTTTCATTACATAAAGAGAGGCTTGGTGATTTTTTTAACAATAATTTACATTTCTAAAATAAATTGGTACATTTTAAGGTGAAATCCTGACCCCACTGATTTCAACTATAAAATGTGATATTTATAGGAATAATACATCAGAAGGATTATTAAAAACATGCAGTGTCACACACCATATAACATGTCAAACCTTGTACCCCCTAAATGAAACACATCAACTGAGTAAGGAGTAGTCTTTCTCTCTCTTGAAAAACTAGGGGAGCTGTGAAATAGACTGCAGAAATGAGGGGTGAGATAAATATGTACTGAGCAACATTGTCCAGTATAAAGCCACCCAAGATAAGGAAATTTAAAGCCACGAACAGGCCATGGAGCATAGCAAGAATGTTCTTTTATGCAAAGACACATGCATTTTCTGCTTATAACTCCATATTATGGCTAACATGTGACTGCCAAAGTACATGGATGAATATTCAGAGTTTATACTATAGTTACACTTTGATGGGACATCTTACATAGAATAAGAAGAATCTTGACTTTTTGCACTGGGTCTGTTATTTACCTTCTCTGTATAGAAAGGATTCAATTGAAG